GACACTATGTAATTCTGTGGATTCAGCCCAGAAGAGCGTTAGATTTTTTTGCTGCAGCATCACACCGTCGGCTCATGTTAAGCTCGTGCACGATTTCTCTATTTTGCCCGCCAGGCCTCACGACACCAGCCGCGAGGGGTACAGGGACTGGTCTTTCATGTCCACGCACTATTGGGACGAAAATCCACGGGGCGTCTGGTCCCTTCTGCTGGAGAACAAAGGCGACGCATACAACACGGGGTCCCTCGACAGCTTTGTGTTAAAACTGTACGGCACAGAGGAAGATATGAGGGCGAGACCGGCCGCAGCCTCGATGGTGGGCAGCTGTGCTATGCGAAGCGCTGACGGGGAATGCCTGGGTAAGTTGCGTCCATCCCTCCTTACCCCGGCGGGTGGGCCTCGGAGCCTGCGGAACTCCTTGCCACTGGATCCCAGTAACAAAATAAATGGACTGTTGGAAAATGGGGGCAGGGGGCTCTTTTGGTTTGGCGGGAGGGACCATTAATCTCCCCCACCCCAGGCCGACTTTGCTAGGTGATTGACAGGTGGGGGAGTCCGAACCGTCTGGTCACGGCGGACCCGTGCGCGCTGATGTCCTTCCCGCTGGGAAATGCAGTGCCCATCATGTGCAGGCGGCGATTAGACTTTGGAAAGCTGGCACCGCTGGAACAAGTACCGTATTTTCCGCTCTATAAGATGCACCAGACCACAAGACGCACCTAGTTTTTGGAGGAGGAAAACAAGAAATATTCTGAATCCCAGAAGCCAGAACAGCAAGAGGGATCTGGCTTCTGGGATAGCCGCGCGAAGCATCTTCCGGGCAGCGGGAGGAAGGCTCCCCCAAGAGCTGCGCTCCTGTTAAAGAGCACACGGAGCGTGTGTGCGGCTCTTGGGGGGTTTTCCCCAAGGAGGGAGAAGGGCAGCTCTTTTAAAGGGAGCGCTGAGAAGAGCCTCCCGCCTGCATTCGCTCCATAAGACACACACACACATTTCCCCTTACTTTTTAGGAGGGGAAAAGTGCGTCTTATAGAGCGAAAAATACGGTACATCAAATTTGCCACCAGAGTTCTGGGTTTGGAACAAATGTGCGATGAATAATATAGTAAAATGCAAGCTGCAAAACCCCCGCTGCTTTTCACGCCATTGTCTCTCGAGATGGGCGGATGCCATCAATTCTCGGAAGAATAATAATAATAATAATAATAATAATAATAATAATAATAATAATAATAATAATAATTTATTATTTATACCCCGCCCATCTGGCTGGGCTTCCCCAGCCACTCTGGGCAGCTTCCAAAAGAATATTAAAATACTATAATACATCAAACATTAAAAGCTTCCCGAAACAGGGCTGCCTTCAGATGTCTTCTAAAAGCCTGGTAGTTGTTGTTCTCTTTGACATCTGGTGCGAGGGTGTTCCACAGGGAAGGCGCCACTACCGAGAAGGCCCTCTGCCTGGTTCCCTGTAACTTGGCTTCTCGCAGTGAGGGAACCGCCAGAAGGCCCTCGGTGCTGGACCTCAGTGTCCGGGTAGAATGATGGGGGTGGAGACGCTCCTTCAGATATACTGGACCAAGGCCGTTTAGGGCTTTAAAGGTCAGCACCAACACTTTGAATTGAGCTCGGAAACGTACTGGGAGCCAATGTAGGTCTTTCAAGACCGGTGTTATGTGGTCTCTGCGGCCGCTCCCAGTCACCAGTCTAGCTGCCGCGTTCTGGATTAGTTGTAGTTTCCGGGTCACCTTCAAAGGTAGCCCCACGTAGAGTGCATTGCAGTAATCCAAGCGGGAGATAACCAGAGCATGCACCACTCTGGCGAGACAGTCCGCGGGCAGGTAGGGTCTCAGCCTGCGTACCAGATGGAGCTGGTAAACAGCTGCCCTGGACACAGATTTGACCTGTGCCTCCATGGACAGCTGTGAGTCCAAAATGACTCCCAGGCTGCGCACCTGGTCCTTCAGGGGCACAGTTACCCCATTCAGGACCAGGGAATCCTCCACACCTGCCCGCCTCCTGTCCCCCAAAAACAGTACTTCTGTCTTGTCAGGATTCAACCTCAATCTGTTAGCCGCCATCCAACCTCCAACTGCCTCCAGGCACTCACACAGGACCTTCACTGCCTTCACTGGTTCTGATTTGAAAGAGAGGTAGAGCTGGGTATCATCCGCATACTGATGAACACCCAGCCCAAATCCCCTGATGATCTCTCCCAGCGGCTTCATGTGCCTTATGAACACGATTTCTTACTCTTATAATAAGAATTAAATTTTCTGAAATTTCAAGAAATTCCTTATGGGTCTGGCCTTCCTTAACTGTACAGTGCTTCACCTATTGATTCAAACTCGGATATATGTGCAGCACTTATTCAGTTTTGTTTCCAGACCAATACTGTGCACATCTACTTGGATATAAGCCCCATTTTGTTCAAGATGTGTCTGTTCAGGATGGCAGTCTTGGGAAATCCTACTGTCGCTATCATGCTCTCAAGAGCCGATCCATCTGACATACATTAATGGCCAGCACACAAAGGCTGTAAACTGCAGTCTTTGTGTACTGAACTGAATTAGGTGTTAATTCAGCCCAAACATGCACAACTTAAATTTTTAGATTAGTTACAATTGGCAGAAACCATCAATTAGAATATATTGAAACTTTTACTGGCCCCAGCACCCTGAAGTTTTCCAAAGTTTTAAAAGAAAAACTCATCAATTCATGAAGTTTAAGGTACAGTAATAGATCATAAACATCAATACTGCCATGCTATTCAGGTTCAGACTGTATTTTGGAGGCAGTGGGGAAAGAGATCAGGTTAAAGAATGGAAATGGGTGCCAGTTTTTTAAAAAAGGACTGTAGGTGAAATGTGTGCATGCCATAGAAATAGAATTTTATTATCAAGCTTTAAAGACAGCTTTCACCAAGAATGCAATTGAATAAGGAACTGGTACTGAGAAGAATATTTGGGCAGTATCCAGATATATTTTTGTGCTACAGCACAAAATGTGGCACTCACCAGGTGCCACACACCACTTAGTATGAAGGAATTACGGTAGATCAGTAGTCACACTTAAGACATTAGTCCCACAGAAATCAATAGAACTTAAAGTATGTATGTTTAGGACTAGGATGCTTGTGAAATGAGCAACCATATCCAAGGACTAATCCTGTTTAGAGCTGTGACTAGACCACACAGGCATGGATGCTCTTTACATCCTTCAGTTCAAGACAACCATCAGTGGTGCAGGCTTGCATTATGTTCTGGTTAACCCTTGCAGCCAAACAAGTCACTTGAGGGCTCATAGTTACCTCGCTAACACAATGCTCACCTCTGTTTTCCTGCTGCAAGTCTCTGATTTGAGTGTTCTCCTGAGATAGCAGAATATGAGGTTTGTATTTAGACATGTCCTTCAGCTCAGCTCCGTCCTCTTGATACTTGTAAAGGAAAGATGGTCCATATGAACCCAGAGCAGTCTAATAATATCCATACAACATTCCACTCACCCCGACCCACGTTTTCACGCTGACACTGCTGGGTCTGTGCTCACCTTGTGCGAAAGAGGCGTGCCGGCCTCCTTCATGGACACAACCCGCTTGTGCAACATGGTAGACTGGTCAATGAGAGACTCAGCTGCGTTGTCGTGGTCTTTCAGCCTTTCCAGCAGGGTCCTTGCATCGGTCAGGATCTTCTCTATAGTACAGGCCATTGTCAGAGAACTGAAAGGAGAACGGATCGGGTTAAGATTCAAGAGCTATCAAGGCCAGGCTCAGAGTATGTGAGGCTTTGAAATATGTGGTGTAACGGTTAAGAGTGTTGGGCCAGGACCTGGGAGATCAGGGTTCGAATCCCCCCTCAGCCATGAAGCTCACTGGATGACCTTGGGCCAGTCCCCATCGTTTAGCCTAACCTACCTCACAGGGTTGTGGAGAGCATGAAGCAGAGAAGAGGAGAAGCAGGTACACCACATAAATGTAATAAATAAATATTACGGTGGGGTGTTTTTTGGGAGGGCGGAGGTGTCTTCGTACGAAAGCACTAGAGGAGGCTGGGACACAGAACTGGCCACACGACATGGGTGCCCCCAGCTCCACTCTGTGTGCTCTAGGGAGGTCTGTGCGTGCCCTAGGAAGGGCAGACAAGCAGGGTCCGGTTTTAGTGGCCTCCCAGGGAGGCAGCACCTTCCGCGTCCGACATGGAGTGAATGGGAGAAAGGAGGCAACATAGCATTGCGGCCGTTCCCAGTCCCGGGCGACCCCGAGGCAGCCCCTCGCCCTTCCCAGGAGGCGACCCCCGGTCCGCGCCCTCCTACTTACCCCCTCCGGCCGCGCCTCCCGCTCCGGCTTCCCTCCCTCCGGCCGTCAGCGAAGAGGGTCCCGGCTCCGAGGCACACTAGGGGGCGCAGAGGTCACAGGCTCCGCGCTCCGGCCGCCGCCGCCGCCGCTTCCGGTATGAAGTTTCCTTCCTCTCCGAGTCAAGGGAAATTCATAGCTCTCCGGAGAAACTTCCGGTTTCCGGTTGCAGGCGGCGGGCGCTTCGCCGAGGCTCCCCTTTGGGTTGCGGAAATCCAACAGGTGGAGCCGTCCTGTTCCTTTGGCGGAGCAGCGACCGGGGAAGGCTGTGCCTGCAGCATCTCTCCGGCCTGCAGCCTCGTAAGGGGCCCGGCGGTTCCGCTAGCAGGAGCTAAACGCTCAAGATCAGTTGTCAGGCGCAGCCTCGTAGCTTGAAAGCTCCGTGTCAAGTTCTGGTTCAGGCATCGGGTGCGCGCGACCACGTCCGTGGGTTTGATTTCGTTATTCACAGCCGCAGTCCTGTACCTGCTTGCCATGTAGGACTTGCTTCTGAGTAGACATGTATAGGGATTGCGCTGTAAGCGAGAATCCTCTGCTCATCGAGGGGGTAGGGGAGACCGCATTGGAGGCAATGGATTTACTTTTGAGTAGGCACGTGTAGGCTTGTGCTGCTCTTTAAAATCAGTTCAAATGCAGCGCTTTCCAATTCCATTTGTTTTAGCAAGCCATTACCCAGCCATGTGCGCACCTATCCCATCTGCCTGCCTTCCTTCTAGCTGTCCGTTTACAATCCCTTTTGTGCCTGTCAATTCTGCAGCATGAAATGTTGCTTTAAATTCTGCCGGCTGGAGTCCTTCAAACTGCGGAACAGAAGTAGAGAAAAGAAGCAGGACTATTCCCATCAACTCTGCTGAGAGGCTAGCTTTTTTTTGGCCCTCCCTTTAACTGCCATCTAGTGACAGTCATTGTATTGACTGCCCTGTTTTCATTCCAGCAAGTCCTTGTAAGAATTGTAGCTAGTGCCCAAGCTTTCTGTTTTCCTCCACCCTCCTCATTTCCTTATCCTTGCGTGCCCCAATGCTGATTCCGTGGTGTCCGTGTCACCCAACTCCCTCCCCCATTACTCTCTTTACCATCCAGGTCCTGCTTCAAACTCCCAAGTATTTTTTGCTTGATTGGAATTTCTCTTGCTTGTCTGGATGGACAAGAGGGAGGGTGTGTAGAAACCAGCCTATGGTACAATGGCAAAATTTACATTTGATGTTCTGCCGACTTCTGCTGCTTACCACTGGTGCATGGCTCTCTGGAGAATGTCCAGGAGACTACAACTGTCTGGCTGAAAAGATTCCCCACCCTAACCTAGCCTGATAAAAGAACTTGAAAGATTGCACATTATTTTGGTTGCCTGAAGGTGTTACCCTAATATGTCTTTTTTTGCATTTTGATCTTGTCTTTTAACTTGGCAAACCTGAGAGCAGTGACTATATTACTTATTATCTGTAAGTTGTTCCAAGATCCTTTTTTAAAGTCCATTGTAAAAAAAAATTTAAATAATTATTACTTGATTTGAGGAGACAGTAGTACCGAATTTCCCAAAGTCTGATTCTAGCAAACCTGTATCTACAAAAAAATAAAAATAAAAAATCAATTGGATTGACACATGGAATCCTTGCTTTTAACTTCTCCTGTTGGTTCTATCTTCCTAGCCCTAATGTTTTCTTTAAAACAACAACCCAGATTTCAGTCCCAAAAAACAAGGACAGAGCAAATTAGCTTCTTTAGGCAGTGGTCATGTTGCCAAGAGGATGTGTTATTTGCATGTTTACAACTGAATTCTACTTCCACTACTTTTGTCCTGCACGTGGAAGATTGTAATCAGAACAGGAACAGAAGGCTGGGTGGAACTTTTAAGTGTTATTTCTCTTTGTTATGAGTGCTTGCTCACTACAGTAACTGAAGTTGTATGCCCTCACCTTGCTGTCACTTGAAAAGAGATTTGCATTTCCTACCTAAGGTTCATAAAGGGATCTATTGTAGGGAAAGGAAATAAAGGATTGATATGGTGCAAATAGTTAAATTAAAAACTGTTCAACAATGCAATCCTAGCCATGTCTACTCAGAAATAAGTCCTATTGAATTCAGTGGCCTGACAAGTATATACAGAATTCAACTTAAGCCCATGCTAATTTCTGTAACATCTGGAGCAGGGGTGGTGATGAGACTGCTCTAGCAAACGTTGGCAGTATTGCTTATGTTCCTTCTGTCTAACATGGATGTTTGTGTGTGTCCCCCGCCCCCGTATTTATATTAGTGTGGCCTACTCATGGAAGTAGAGAGCAAAATGATATAAGGAATGTTGCGTTTAAACCACTATCATGCCAAGAAACTAGAATTTGGCAAATTAAGGATTTCTGTAAACAAAGGCTTTTATAAACAAATCCCACTGTGCAGTGTTGTCATTTGCAGTTGCATCTAAGGACTGATATGGCAAGAAGAGGGCCCTGAAATCTGTCCACTGTTAAGAGACTGTGTACAAATATTTCGTGTTTTCTGAATGACTTTCCAGGGTCAAAAAATGTATTTTCTAAACAATCAGATGTTTCTCAGAAAACAATTTCAGGAGCTTCCCACCCCAGGCCCACTAAAGGAATTCACTGCAGAGTTTGTTACCTTGAAGATTAGAATAAAAACATATCCTATTGGCTGTGGGTTGTTTGCTTCTTATCCTCAAAACTTGTTTTGGAGCAGTTTTAAGAAGGGGAGGTAACTCAAGGAAGGTTAGTTGTGATGTGAAAATCAGGAACTGGCTGAACAGTTGTGCAACCTGGAATTGCAACTAGGAAAGAGCTTAGCTCAGTGGCAGAATGCTTGCTTTACACACAAAAAGTTCCAGGTTCAATCCCAGGTATATAGAGGGACCCCTGCATGAAACCTTGGAGAGCTGCTGCCAGTTAGTGTCAACTGTATTGCACTAGATGGATATATATATGGTCTGCTTTATTTAGTCATAGTTATGTTGACCATTGCAACGCACACAAGCTTGCTAAAAAAAACCCTGAGCCTATTCATTCCTGCCCTAGTTCTCAAAGGACTGTGCCTCATTTTCTTGCTATACTGTAAATAGTTGGACTCATATATTTGCATGGCACATGGATTCCTATCCTTGACCTGACAGGCCCTGGTTATCTATTTAAATACTGACTTTAAAAGTGTTTAATGAATTCCAGGCTGAGATTTGTCAATATGTCATCTTATCTAATATTCTTGTTTGCTCCTTTTCACAGTAAACAGCCTCTATTCATGTTTTCTAAAACAAACAAACCGAAAACCAGACATTCTGTTACGGAAACTGGAGTCTTTGTTACTTATTTGCTAAGAGAAGGTACTCTTAGTGATAGCTGGTGTCCTTGATTCTTCATTTAACTGTGTTCAATGGGACATTTTTGTAATGGCTCAGACCTATTGGCCTTTAAAAACAGTATTACTGAAAAACCTTTATTCAATGCTTATTCAAACTTTCTGCAATTAGGATCTTCAGGCTGTTTTTCCAAGAAAGTGTACAACACACCTTCATTATATTGAGTATTGTGATGTTTTTCTCTGATTGAAGGGGACTGAGTCTAAGTGCTGCCCTTGCATTCATGAAATGGCTTACGATGCAGAAAAGGCATCTGCTAACATAAGAGGAACCTGTGGCCTTCCAGGCCATGCAGATGTTCTTGGGCTCCAACTCCCATCATCCCTGACCACTTCTCATACTGGTTGGGGCTAATGGGAGTTGGGAGTCCAATGTTTCAAGGGCCATAGGTTCCCTACCCCTGCACTAACAGCCCCCTGACAATCAGCTCCTGAGAGTTAAGGGGCCTTCCAGAATGAGTGGTGTCACGGAGAGTTACAAATGGAAGGATAAAAAGGCAAAAATCCCCTACTCTGTGAGCAGATGCCTCCACTGGATCCCTTCTGTGAGTATAAGGGTACCAGTTAAATCCCACCCACTAATGCTAAAAGTATGGTTTTTCACACCTTACTTTAAAAATCCATTATAGGTTATGACTTCCTGATGTGTGATACACACACACACACACACACAGAGAGAGAGAGAGAGAGAGAGAGAGAGAGAGCGCAATAACTCACACACAATACATACTTTCGTTTCTCCCACTGCATAACATTGCTGCGTTGGTATTTTAAAAATATTCATGATATAATAGAGCAGCAAGTCTCTGGTGCTTACTGGGAAGGGTGAGGCAGCAGGCAGGGCAGTGTGGTGCAAAAGCACTATCAGGAGCACAGGACTGATCTCACTGGGGCTTTTGCAATGCACCAATGTCACCACCACCTCACCCTGGCAAACAGCAGTGACTCACCTACTGGGAGGTTCACCCCACCATGTTGTCTGCTGCTGGTGCTATGCCCCTGCTATGAAAAGTTTAATCTTCTAGTTTCTGCAGTTTCTGCTAAAATTATATGGACACTCGGTTGCTGCACAGGCAGGTCAGGATCCAGAGAGCTAGAGGCAGATGGGCCAATGGTTAAATTCTATAGCAAAAAGACAAAGCAAAGTAAGTCTTTTCAGCAGCATTTCCCAATGGCAAGGTGTTGAATGGCAGGGATTTAGGGTATGGGGTTGGGGGTCCAGACGATAGTGTTCAGTCCAGTACTGAAGCTTTAACTCATAATGCTATTTCTTCCTGGTTTGTCAAGGAAGCTTCTGGTGACAGAAGGCAACAAAGACTAGCTGCTGAAGGCCCTGGTTCAAATCAAGACGCATCCTCACCCTCTTCCAGTGCGTTACAGACTTTCCCCTTGCATTTCTTTACTGTGTTTATATTACACCTTTTTGACAAGGAGCTCAAGGTGGTGTACATGGTTCAACCCCGAGAGGTAGGTTAGGCTAAGAGGTAGCGACTGGCTTGGGTTCAGTGTGTAGATTTTCTGTGCTTCTTTTGACTTTCTTGCATGATGTCTGGTGGGCCCCAGACTCACATTGAAGTACATCTCCATAATTGGAACCTAATCTTTCCTTTTGCATTTTCACAAGACAGAATGTAAGCTGGGTGTCTGCACCAAACATAGTACACATATTTGGATCTCCTGCTTGTATAAGGCTCACCTGGGAAGACAAGAAACCTTTATCTCAAGATTTGCAAATAAATGTGTTCACTTGAGATCAGGGATGTAGGTTTTGTTGTATTCATC